AAAAAAAACTAATTAAAAGAAAAGTAGAAGAAAACTATTTATTTTTTAATTTATAGAAGTTGAACCGTTCGTTAATACCAAAATTACTTGTACAACGTAATTAAAAATTATTTATTTATCTATTATGATTCTTTGATTGGTGTTAGAGAGGGCATGTCGTAGGGCAGTCACTTTAAATACACTGGACCAGCTTCGTTGAATTGCCGAGCCACAGGCTTATCTTGATATTTAATTTGAATGCGTGACGTTCAGTGAGTAAGCATGCTGTTTTTCTTGTGTAAATCTGGTCGCAGTTGTCACAAATAATACAATAAATTTAATGTTCAGATGTAAACGGATATTAACAGAATAGAAGCCCCGAGAAAGTATTTTATGATCTCTGTAAGGGCAAGTGTTGCGTCTGCTTTTCAGACAACTGTATGTAACCAGTTTGAGTATCACGTGGTGGTTGTATGTTGTTCGGAAGTCGGCTATAGACGAGTAAATCTTTAATGTCAGTGTCTCGTTTATAAGAAATTAGTGACTTAATAGGTAACATGTGACCGATGGTATTGTCCTGTGTTATGATGTGAAAACTGTCAAGCAAGATATATATATATATATATATATATATATATGTGTGTGTGTGTGTTTATGATTTGTATGTTGAATGGGTGAGTAATCGTATGGAAAAGCGTTTCTGATCAGTGGCAATGGAAGTGTGTTGGTTGAAGCGAGGTTAGACACGTGTTGGTGGATTCTGTAAGTTTTCCTGCGTGTTGGCGTTATAATTACCGATATGATTTGAGCTACGCAAGCTCTGAAAAACTGCATTTGTGTGTATGAAGATTATAAATAGGGTAACTACGTTTCTTGAAAACAAAATGGAGCTGCTCGACAATTTTGTTATTGTAATTATCATTGTTACTGCAGGACCTATATAATCTAGCGAGTTGTGATTCGTGAATGTTTCGCTAGACGTATGAAGGATGACTGGAGTGTAAATATAAGGAGGTATGTGTGCCCGTTGGTTTTTAATATAAAGATGACACAAAATGGTTACATCAGACATGGAAGTATTTCACCCATCACTTCAATACACGATTTCTGTTTCCTGCCAAACCATCTCATTTCTTGACTAACACCCACACATACACACTACCAACAATAGCAATTATTTTAACTATGAAATAGTAGACTAAAATATATTACTATAATATATGCATACAATTTATAGTACCTGTCAAAGTACGTGGTTACATTGTGTAAAATGTAAATATACATTCATTGATGGCGTCACTCATTCAGTATTTTACTCATTTCTGGTCCTTTTATCGAAGCACCATTAACAGGTTCACTTACAGTTCACCAAGGCGTAAGCTTAGCCTCTCACAACAATCCGACCATGGCTAATATATGTACATAAAATAATAAAAGAAAATACCTCGACAAGAGAGTATTTATTACAACAACAATACATATTCTACTACTAATAATACGTCAACAATAACAGTATTCATGATTGCTCATTTTCCTTACTTGTTCTACTCCCCCCCCCATAAACCAATATTACAAAAGAAATATAAGTAAATCGTGTTTTATCATATTTTTTACTACTACGAAATATAAGTAAATCGTGTTTTATTATATTTTTTACTACTACGAAATATAAGTAAATCGTGTTTTATTATATTTTTTACTACTACGAAATATAAGTAAATCGTGTTTTATCATATTTTTTACTACTACGAAATATAAGTAAATCGTGTTTTATTATATTTTTTACTACTACGATTCCAAATTCAGGAATCAATTGTGGAATTGACTTAAATGTGTTTTAGTAAAAATTTCGGGCGCCATACGATTGAACATGTAATGAATCAAGCCCCTTCCCCAATCCAAAATGCTGTCTACGCCCCAGCAGTGCACACGTGCCGCCTCTGCTCTGTTTTTAAGATTATAAACGCCATTTTATCTGCGGAAGGGGAAGGAAGATTGCGTGGGTGAGTTAACAGTAGCATACAGCAGAGGTTTTGATGAAACCTTGGCCAAGCACTTCAATGGTATATCGATCTGTAGAGCGGCTGTGACAACACTAACCCCTAAAGTAACAATTTAGTTGCTTTATACGAGTTATGTAAACTTTGTGTCTTATTCCACAGTTACTTCTCTCCGATGGATATACTTTCCTTATGTGTAAATTTTGTATTAACCAATTTCTGTAAAAGTAGTAATTAACAACTTAAAAAAATAGACAATGAGAAGAATTTACATTTTCCTGACCTTTTTTTTTATTACTCAACATCTATACAGAGAAAAAAATATATACTCTACAATTTTCATCGGTGAACTAATGTCTGTCCGTTTGTTTTCGGAATAACAATGAGTATATTGTTTCTCATTGAATAAAAGTTAAGTTGAAAACATAAAAAAATATATGTGTCGACATAGAAGTTACTAAATCCAAGTACCTTAAGCGAGTTGATTGTAAAGATATGATAAAAGTTACGAAAACACAAACATTGAACATGTGATGACGTCATTTTACTCTAGTTGACAGGATATGTTGATACATACTAAAGACAAAGACCCATGAGTTGATTACCCATCGTTCAGGAGAGAGAGTGTGGGATGGTTGAGCGGATAGGCACGCGACAGCACTAGCACAGTAGATGTGATTGTAAATGTGGAAGCCCATTCATCTTTCCCAAGACTCTTCATTCACAACTTTCTGCCGCTACATGTCGCTAGAGTACCGGCGGAAGGGCGTGGCACGATTTGACTGCCTCGCAAGCAACAGACCAGCATATCGCGCCAGTATTTACATGCACCAGAATAAAACAAGTACCCCTACATAGCCTGCACTCCCAGCATGCACTGCCACGGTAGCGACATATTTAGATAGACATTCAACTTCCGTTCACGATCTCCTCATCAGTCACATGTAACATTCAACGCTTGCCCAAGATAAACATTCCATACACACGAAAGGAAAAACTGATAAAGGCACTTGATAACATCCCATACGCAAGAGTCACATGTTAGCGATATTACCAGATGTACCTGTGTTTCAATAGAGATAACGTAGAAACCTATTTATGATTGCTAGTCATTCTTTGTGGGCAGTTTGTTCATAAAATTTATATTTTCAGCTATGAAAATGTATTTTGTTGTTAAACATACTATATCGATAACGCATTGTATGTATAAGAGTAAATGAAGCTTCCTCGTTACGACCATAACCATTTCAGGTTGAACTCAAATATTCCCTAATTGCATCTAAAGGTATCAGAAAGAAAGAAAAAAAGGTCCATTTGCCATTAAGAATGGAAATGTTTAAAGGCATGAATGTGAATTTCAAAAGTTTATTTTGTCATGGTGCATCAATAAAGTATGAATTATCAGTTCACTTAATGGTTAAAGATTGCTTTGGATGTATTTCGTCTATTTTTTTTTTTTTTTTTGCCACCGTAATATCGAGTGCTTCTTCTGTTACAACTGTTGTTATATTTGTATTTTCGGAAGTATAAGACTGAATAAGATACTTCAACAACGGATAAGACTGTTTGAGGGGAAATAGTTTTCCACGTGTGTGTGTATATATATATTGTTTATTAAAAATTTGAAACCTATTTTATTGATTTTTTAAATAATCATGGTGAACTTTTAAAATTTGTTTCTTAACAATAGTTATTTCTTGTACTCGGTCGCTTCCTTACCCCGTGTTTATTTTTGCTTTTCAGTTTTATTTAACACATAATACATACTTTATTTTTTCATGTAAAGTTTTTTTGTTTTTTTTTTCACTTCCGTAGCGTGTACTCTTGTTTGCTCGTTTTATCTTGCCATTTTCCCTGTCTTTATTTTTCTTGTTTAATGATTTTATTTATCACGTTTTCTTAATGTTTTAGCTTTATTTTTTCATTTCTTACACTTTTAAACATATATTTAATAGATTGCATTTTGCCATTTTTCTGGTGTTTATCTTTCACGTTTTACGCCTTTATTTTTGCTATTTCTTCATCCTTTATCCATCTTGTTTGTAGTTTGTATTATTCACTTCATTAGCATCTGCTTTTTTGTTTATTGGTTTTATTTTGACATCTCTTCAGTCTTTGCCGTTATTGTTTATTGGTTTTTATTTTGTCATCTCTTCAGTCTTTGTCGTTATTGTTTAATAGTTTTATTTTGTCTTTCTTAGCCATTATCCATCTTGTTTATTGGTTTTATTTTGTCATCTCTTCAGTCTTTGTCGTTATTGTTTAATAGTTTTATTTTGTCTTTCTTAGCCATTATCCATCTTGTTTATTGGTTTTATTTCGACACTTCCTTAGTCTTTGCCATTCTTGTTTGTCGTTTCCTTTCTTCTTTGATAGCTCTATATTTTTTACTTCTTAAGTCCTCATTCTTCTCTTGGAAGTATCAATTCACACAAATATATTAACGTTTTTTATTTTTTGTTTTTTATTCTATAACTTTCAAATCTCTTAAAAAGCCTGTAATATGTATTGTTTACTAAGTTTAGAGCCACTTAGAATAGCAGTGTTTAGTTAATGTATGTATTGGTTTCTTTTTGTCACTTCCCCAACCCACATTTATTATTGCTTTTTCGTTTTATTGATCACATCCTCAGCCTTGTCTTGGAATGATGGATCATAGTTGGAGGCCACATGTTTTCGTGCTTAAAGCTCAATCAGAACAGCTTTACATAAAGTAATATAGTTTCCCTAAGAATGACGAAATTACTTCTTGTCATTAATACGAATTTTAGGTATTGTTCTATTTCCCCGAAACGGGGCCGAAGGCCGTCTGTAGGGATCACCTATTTTAACAACTCGCACTACTATACAGTAGTGTGTTGTATGTCGGTCAGTCAGTCAGGAAACACTAAAATGACGTCACATAAGGGACGCATGCCATGAATCACGAGAAGAATTATGCACTCTGTAGACTGCAGCACAACATGACATATGAACTTCAAAAGCAAGAAATAACAATATTTGTTACTTTTAAGTTTGGTTTTACTTACTCTTGAAACAGAACACTAGTTGTATATTTCAAAAAATATCAAATGTAATACAAGTTTCGATAGTAGCATGTTCAACGTCTCTCCTTTTCTATGAAAAATAACTTTTTTAACTTGTGTTGTTTTCCTCAGGTCGTCCTCAGCTGTATAATCAAGAAAGACTTTCAATGCAACAGGGTGATGCCAACCTTTTACCACTGGCGAACAGGAAACAAAAAGTTTGGCCTCACCTTTCAAACTGCAGCCGATGCCCGCGCATTTGACAAGGGGGTACGTCAGGCCATGGATGACCTTTTCGATGGTAAGCAAGTATTTGTGCATACTTCTGCGTTTTAACGGTTTTCGACGTGAACATAGATGAAATCTTTAAAATCGTCAGAAGTTAACGGGAGAATTTTCACAGAAAATCAGATAGTTGACTAGTATTTGACGAAGAGGAAGAAAATTATTCTTGACACCTTTAAAACAAGCGGGGATTTGGAATACTTTTATTTACAAATGAGAAACTAAATTTTCCTAATTTTGTCACATCATACATCTTCACAGTAATCTTCATCTCAACTACCAGCGAGAACTAGAAAATTCTGTTTGTTTTCTCACACATTTATTAAACTTCAAAATGATGTTAGAGCACCTCACTTATTTCCACCAGAGGGCGCGTTTCGTCGAGCAGACAAACATTTTTCTTTGGGATACTGGCGAAAGTGACGACGGGATTCATCATGCTGAACTAGTCAACGGCTTGTCTTGGAATGATGGATCATGGTATGAGGCCAGGTGGTTTTTCATGCTAAAACTAGATTAGAAGCTCGTTGTCAATAAAACGAATTTTAAGTTTAGAAGATGTGCCTGGGTGTAGGTAAGTGGTCTTGTAACCACATTTTAAATGAGAGATATTAAGTAATGAGTTAAACATATTTGTTTCGTAATATTTATCAACGAATACTTGGGCTTATATTAACATAGGTAACCAATCTAAGGAAATGTTTAACGTTTTTTTTCTCCTTTTTTTTTAATTCCCAGAACGCGTTTGATATTTGTATAATTAATAATTAGTGACTCAGCCACCATCGTAAAACAAATATAAAATAAATACTCTTATTTTTCTTTCTCTCTCCTAATTTCATTTTATTTTCGTTTCTTTCTTCCTGCTTTCCGATCTGTTGTTGAATATTGATCGGTTCTTACCACCACTGGCTTGTTTTATGTTCAGTATCGATACAGCAGTCGCGTAAAGTTACAAGTAAACTGTCTAGTTATGGTTGTACAGTTCGAATTTCGTCCTAAGCCCGCGTGCGTGTGTATGGTGTTTACATTCATTGAAGAACTACAGCAGTGCGACATTTCTCGGTCAGTTTCATTGATTGCTTAATATAAGTAGGTCGCGTTTCCGTGAGCTAGCGGCTGTGAACAGAGAATTATCCACCATTCACAGATATGGAAAACTGGGACAAAGAGCTTATTGATACGGTGGCGGCATCTGATGGTCGTATTTGTTCCAAACGCTTGGCGTAAATTATATTATGAAACCATTAATTTTTTTCATAAATATGTATCGAGTAGAATATTTAAAATATTTTATAGAAGACCGATTTTTGTAACCGATTTGTGTTTTTTCGTAATTAATACTAAATTCCACATACGTGCGAATTGTTATTGCATTGCAAACACAAATAGAATTACAGTGTTTACAAAATATTGTAGTAAAAAGTTAAATAAAAACGATGATTAAAAGCTGTTTCACATCACATTTTCCTAAAATTAACTTGCATAAGTCAAGATTAATATATTAACCGTACAATCAATTGATTATTAAAGCACACCAGCTAGTTTCAGGAAAGCTAGTATGTGTAAAAATTAAAAGGATAAAATAAAAATTTATATCAATTATATCAAGTTATTGAAAAAATAGCATAGTATTATATAGTTTAAGGTTCTTGCAATAAAGAAAATTTAGACAAAATATGTTGCTTCATTTAATTGTTATTATTTTTTATTTGTTTCCATTTCAGTGAGCTTTTAAATGTAAAAAATATTATACAATAATATATGTATACTTTATTTATAGCAAAATACAAATGTTTTGCTCTGAAGTTACTACATAAGGACATAATTGAAATGATTTTTCTCTTCCTTCACTGTGTCTTTACACAGAACAGACAAAATTCGAAACTGTTTCTGAGAGTAACTCCTAAACAAAGATGAAGACTTGTATTTAAGTTTTATACATTGTGTTTAAGATACATGTCTGGACAAACAAAAATCTAGAAGATTCTTTATACAAGGAATCATAATCTAACAGCCAACTTCTTATTAAAGTTTGCTTTTAATGTAGTTGTGTCAGGTATCAACTTGGTTTGGCTAAAATATTAAATTCATGAATACTATGCTAAGGGAATCTGTGTATATATATGCAAATAAATGGTAGTATATGTTATTACGTAAACTTGTTGTGATGAGTAAGGAAACAGATAGAAATAATAGTAGTGCACAAAGTTATATCCAGATTTGAAATCAATTTGGTAACCAGTAACAATCTAACAATTAGTATAGACCATTAACAATCTAACAGTTAATGTAGACCAGTAACAATCTAACAATTAATGTAGACCAGTAACAATCTAACAATTAGTATAGACCAGTAACAATCTAACAATTAGTATAGACCAGTAACAATCTAACAATTAGTATAGACTAGTAACAATCTAACAATTAGTATAGACCAGTAACAATCTAATAATTAGTGTAGACCAGTAACAATCTAACAATTAATATAGATCAACAGAACTACTTGTAGAAAACTGTTATTCAACAGAGTTGAAGCAGTTGCAGAGGCTACAAGTAATTATATGATTAGTTATTCTTTATTCATTAGCATTATTGTTTCTTGTCTGCCCAGTGAGGTATAGTAATCCTGAATGCTGAATCAGATTTTCAAAGTAAGAGTTGTCAGTAAGGACCAAAAGTAGTTTGTATTATATTTTGATGAAGCTTTGCACAAATATAGTGATAGATTATATATGAGATGTTACATTCTTACTACATCATAAGTCCCAAGGATTCAGCCACAGGTATTTGTGAAATTATATGTTAATCATAATATATTTTCAATGTTAATTGATTTTGAAATATTTACAGAAAGCATATTTATTAATGAATTTTGTGATATGTATATGTATGGTAACAGTGGGATGCACTTACTTCTTTATATTTGACTTTTGTGGCTTATTACAACAAAATGTTTAGGCCAAATATCAGTGTCTGTTGCTTTGTGTAATCAACCCAATAGTTGAATTAATTTAGAGTATTGTCATGTAGTCATCTGTATCATGTGATTCACTCTTATCAGCAGAATCCTATTCCTGATCCTGATCAGTTGGATCAAATACATGCTGCTTAAGTGATACTGAAAATGACTGAGATATCTCCTCATGACAGTGGAAACCATTTGCTGTAAAGCAGATGCAACATGAACTCAGCATCGCATTGTCTTTGCCCATGACAAACAGTGGTTGTACCAGACACTCATATGCTGACCAACTGATGCTCTATGTCATAGGAGATCTATATGGAGTAAATCTTTAATGTCACATGCTGTGACTGAAGTTTGGTCAATAACAGATTATAGTCATTAGTCACATTTATGATTGAACATTGGTGGTGTACTGTCTGTATTTCATGTGTGCAGTGCATGCTGTACCACTGTATGTCAGATGAAGTGGGTGACTTTAATCATCATCCTTGCTCTTATGATAACTTGGATAATCAGTATGAACCTTGCTAATTTGTGTTGGCTCCCCTCTCGCTCTTTATACTGTGTGCTGAGATTATCTGAAAAGTATTCTTGAGTATATAACCTCGTCTGTTTGAGGTGATAATTACTAGTGCAATGTTTCTCAACTGGAGTGCAGTGAAATTTTAGCAGAATATTGACTTTCATCTTTGATATGCCACTGTTAACTAGGAGTGCCATGGAAATTGTATACTATGTATAAGGATGACTTGAGCAAAAAAAAATTAGAGAAGCACTGTACTAGTGGTTAAGTCTCAGTTGGTTTATTTGAAGCTAAGCACAAAACTACACAATGGACCATCTGTGCTCTGCCCACCACGTGTATTGAAACCCAGTTTATAGCATTGCAAGTCTACAGACATACCTCTGTGCTACTTGGGGCAGTTAAATGAGATCATACAGCAGATGTTATTCATGAAAAATGCTGTAGGCTTCTGTTTTTGCCTCAACAGCCATACAGCACCAATACATAGAAAAGATATGACTGTCCCTATTATTCATCAGGTCAGGGAAATCCTTTTTGGGTGTAAAAACTGCTGGAAATGGTTTCAATTCAGATCACTAATCATACAAATCCCTTTATAGATCAACCAGTGTGGATACGTTTAATATTGCTTATCTCCCACTATACTCTGCCAATTTACCCACATTTTGTATCATTAAAAGTTTCTGAAAACTAAATCCTCCTCCTTAAAGTATGTCTCCAAATACAACATTTTCTACGAGTATCAATTGTATATGCCATATAGGATCCTTCTAACTTAGGTCATGTCATTTTATCCCATTCCTACTATGTTAAGTTGTGATACAACCTTTTGCTATTGTTTTTGAGAGATAACATATCCGAGATTACCGATAGCTGTTCGAATAACATTTTCAACATATTTTATTGTTTTTGGTGAAATGGTCATTTTACCTGTAGGCCTTTAATGTAAAAATCCTTTGAATTATCAATTTTCTCCAAATTAAAATACAAGTGATGAAGTTTAAGGGAACGTAATATATTTGTTGTTTAAGATAATTTATTTTTAAATGTAGAACAAATAGAAGAAATTATGTTATTAACCCTACAATCCCAAGAGTTAAATTTTCAATCATTAACACAAGGTGGTATGAAGTCATAGTGACCTCACACTGGCATTCTAGGGTTAATTCCATTTTTATTCTGTTGCATAATGCCACTTGTGCTCTTAACCCCCTGCTTTACAATAACTTCACTAAAGCTTTATGTTTCATCCTGGTTCAGTATTAATGATGAAGAGTTGCTGTAGTTAAAAAAAAATACAAGATTCTTAGACCTTTAAGTGATATTACCAATTCTAACAATAATAATAATAAAAAAGTCAAACTTGTTTTACATTAGAAGAATTTTGTTATTAATATAACCATTTGGCAACAAATCACTTAGAGGGATAAGTGTTTTTCTTCTTGCCAGTAATGTTTGAAGAAACCGTCAACAAAGATTTTTATATACATATTTATTTTTTTTCAGGAAGTGGCGATCCATCTCGAACTCATGAAACCAGTCTTAGCAATGATGATGTGTTTATGGTTAGTAAGATCATTATTGGAAGTTAGATTTTAATTTGAAAAATTCTTAATACAATACTTTTTATGTTATGTGTGTAATAATGTTAATTGAAGAAACTTATTAATGTTTATGAAACTTATAATTTATTTTCCTATGCGTATGATATGAAACATTGCTGATAATTTTAAGATCAAGCTACCATGTAAAATTTGCTAGTTACATTCATAGTATTAACATTCAAATGCTTTGAATTTGTACACTGTGTTATAATTATGTTTCCAAACTAATTAATTTTCTCGTTTCAGTATAAATAATTAAAAAAGAAACAGTTTAGTCTTTTGTACTGCTGATACTAATGTTAAGCATAAATTGACCTGAAAATGTACAAAACATCCCAGGTATTTTTTGTTCATTTTTATCTGCACTTTAAATAATGTAGAGCACATACAAAATCATAATTTAAAAGAAGTTGTAGAAAACTTGCTTTACAGTTTTCAAGCAAAAGTTATTAAAGCAAGAGCTTCTAAATAGTAATCTTGTTTTGGGGTTTGACAGAATATTGTACCTGTAATGATGCAAGTGGAATAGAAAGATGTATATATATATTCCCCTGTTTTTCTTGACTAAATGTGTATTTTTATTATCACAAAACTAATTCTTCTTGTGTGTAATAAAAGCTAACTTTAGAGAAGCTTAAGTGGTACATTTCCACTACACTTTTTTTTCTCTACCAATTTGTTTTGTGACACAAATACTTGTTTAGGATGTTAGCAAGTATGCTTAGCCAAAATACTTTTTCAAACTCATATGCTTAATTGTTTAGAAACTTATTCATCTTCCTGTTTGAGGGTTCTTCTTAGACTGTTCAATTCACCTGATACGAGGTAAAATATTACACATTCTACCGATTGAGAAAAACGTTTTCTTGTGTACAGTTTTTGTACACACAAATAACAATATAACATCATATGTTCATAACTGCAAGAAATGTTTCCTAAAATATGGCTAGATGCAAGCAGTCATGTAACACAAGATGTTGACAAATGTTGCTTTGAGTAATATGCCATTTAAAATATAAAAATATTTGTTTCTTCTCTATCACTAATCCTGTATTGATGATTTCTGGAATTTCTTATGGAGCTTGTTTTTACATTGTAGAGAAGTATAATCTATACAGATCAAACTAGTTTTGATCTAAAATGTTAAAATAAACAACCTGATTGGTGAGCTTATAGTTAGTTAGTATTTTTATCCACTCCTGTATAATTTTACAATGAAGGTAGATAGAAAGGAGTTAAAATTTTGACTAATATGTTCAACTGGCAGATTCTCCACTTCAACAACTTTTCAGCTTTGTGCTATCCACTGCTTTTTAGACATTTACTTTGGTTTATTTTATTATGTGTTTCCTTGTATTTTAATATGAGGATACCACTATAAACTTAAATTTTGTATAATTATAGTTATTTTACCTATCTATTATGTGATTTTGCTTCAGAATTTGGTTGCAGCTACAAAATTTTTCTTTTTTTCTATTCCCTTTAAGTTATATTTGTTTTTCCTTTATAACTGTGTAGATAAGCTAAAGCGGCCTTTTTTTTTAATACTAGACACTGGACCTACCAGTTGATTCTCGTTCCTCTTCTGGATCCAGCACAACAAGTGGGAGTATCCCAGGGATTCCAAGACCTTCCTCCACTACAGCTAGTATCAGTGGAGACTTTTCCTCTTCCTCACCACCTTTTACACATCCTCATGCCAACCACCACTATTTGCATAGGATACACTATATTCGCCCTGCTCGCCATGCTGGAGGTTCCACCAGTGGCAATGGAAGTGGAAGTAGTGGTGTGGGGACATCTGGAGGGAGTGGTTCCCAACATGGGGACAAAGGTCACATAGAAGAAGTATGGACAAAGGATAAAACAAAAACCTTTTACAAAGAACAAATGCTGTTTGACAGTGATAAAATAGAAGTGATGCCTACTGAACCCTATTCTTATGTACAGTTTGCTAAGGATAAGCCGTCTAGGACTGAGCATGAATATTCTTATCCTGTGATGGACTCCTTTAGACTTGGGAAACGGGATTCCATAAATAGTTTAAAAAAACAGCAAAACATAATTGTTACTCCGCCTCCTTTGCTGCCAACAAAGTGTAAGAAGAAGAAAGACAGACGTAAAGAATCCAGAAAGCAATCACCGCTTACTAGAATTCAGTGTCGGTATTGTCAAGAGATGTATAACGAGGAAGACAACAGGCGAGGTAGTTGCGAGTATGCCCCAGATGGTGTACTATCTTGTATCAATGCTACTACCTGTATTTCATGTGCCCAGTGCATGCTGTATCACTGTATGTCAGATGCAGAGGGTGACTTTAATCATCATCCTTGTTCTTGTGATAACTCGGATAATCAGTGTCGACGTCGCTGGTTTGGGTTGGCTCTCCTCTCGCTCTTTGTACCATGTCTGTGGTGCTATATACCTCTTCAAGCATGCCACCGCTGTGGTGTTCGATGTAATTTATGTGGAGGCAAGCATGAAGCTGCCTAACCTACTCTCATTTTGGCCAATGCAAGAAATTTGAGAAGAAAAATAACCCACAGACAAATTAAACATCAACATAATGAGTGTGCATGCGTGCATGTTAAGATTGTGTGTGTATGCTCTGCCTTGGAATTAAGCATATTTTGAACCTTTCTTCCAAGAGGCAATATCCACCTATCACCTTCAATCTTGTTATTAGTCAACAAGAACAAACTTTTCATTCTGCTAAGAAAGTAAAGCCAAACAAGCTGAATGTTAACTGATTTCATCATTGGCTAACAGTCTCTTTATAGGTGACCTTCCTGACTACAATTAACATTCTTTCTCATTCAGATTTTTTGGATAGAAGACAAAGAGATAGTGCCACTGACAGGTTCATACATCTGTAACCTTCAAGAAAAAGTTCCAGTATCAGATGTATACTCCTTTTAACTTGCAAATCATAGCAAACAAACATATATAAACAGGAATTATTTACAAAAAAAATTGATAATTGTACCCATAATCAGTGTGAAGTAAGGTGTAGACCTGAAACTAAAACACTGGTGCTATAATTTCACGTGTGTGTTTTGGACTGACACACATTGGTGCTCTGAGGGTATCTCTTCCTGACATCCATGATTATTCAAAGGTTTTCTAATACTCTGCATTTACTTGACCTAGCCATGGAGGTTACTCAAAAGTCAACCTATTTTTATTAACTTGTATGAAAAAACTTGTCAGATCTCTTAGTAAGACTTCTAGGTATATTTGTGTACTTTAGCTTCTTCACTGAACTTTATTGACAAAAGAAATATACTCTTTTTTCCACACTAGAGTGAATTCAAAACCTTCATGTAACATTGTTACATGTGATAAACTGTAAAAACTGTGTATAGTAATTTCTTTGACTTGTTGTCTGGTAAAATAAGTCAACATGATAAAAGTATAATTTTTTTATTAACTTGGAAGAACAGAAAGTCAGTAGCATCTATGATGTAATTTAGACTATTTGGAGAAAAGCTTTCACAAAGATTTTTTGTGTAACTGAAGCCTATAACTTTTCAACATGCAGTTTTTCAATCAAATATAAAAATTTCAACCGAAAAATAGATACCCAATAGAGTTTGAGGTGTTAACAGAATATTTTTGTGATCAATGAATGTTAGAAAAAGACTATCAAGAGGTGATTGTTGTGACAACCAACTCCTTCGAGTGTTACAGTACATTGAATGAAAGTTGTAACATTAGTTAACCACTGGTGTATTTTTATACAATCTTGTATATAGTTTGGTGGTCATGACAAAGGCCATGTTGAAATCAAAGTACACAATCATAGGCATGAAAAGCTAGATATAATGATTTTATTCTGTTTAACACAAAGTATTTTTATGACCAGCTACCTTCTGATTTAGGCAGCGGGAAAAAGTTGCTGTAATGTAGAGTTTGGGTAGCATTTTTACCCATCTTACAATTGTGTTATTAGATCCTAGCCTTTCTTTAGTATTTTATGACTGCTTTTAGAATTTTCTCTGAATTTGTCTAAGTTGTTTTCTTTGTATATTTTTTAACTTCCACCCCCTCAAATGACCTGAAATAAAAAGGTCTGCTGAGTTTGTATATGCCTGTGCCTTACTTGTTTTGTCTGCATTCTTCTTATGTGATTATAGAAATTGTACGAAAAAATGTAAACTAGAAATGCCTAAATTTCTACAATGAACTGAATCTTGTTTCCTGTTTTAGAATATTGGAGCACTTCTTGTGAAAGATTGAATAAATTGAGCTACAACTTTGAAGTGAAAATGGTGGTTAACATGTCCACTTATGTGGAAGGTATTTTAATGTTGGACATCTTTCCTTGATTGTTGTGCTATGATGACTTTTTGGGACATTTGCATGTTCCTTCTCCAGATCCAGAAGAAGGAATACACAAGTATCCTTAAATGTCATTATCATATAATATTTAAGGCAAGATGTCTGATTGTAAAAACCTTCCAGATGATGTCCTATTTCAAATCGTGTCTCTTAAGGAACAAGTCCACTCATTATTATACTAGTGTAATGTGCTTCCCTACACAAATATTTACTACACCTCCATTTAATAGCATTCAACATCAGCAGTGGTGCTTAATCATTCCTCTTTCTAAGTACTTCATTTTCACAACCAAGAAGCAGAATTATTATTACTGTCACCTTCATATATAAGAAATTAAAATCATAAATAAAGTTTATCAAAAAAGTTTGTACAAATAACTTTCTAGGCCTCAATTAAAATTCAGACTTTTTTCTTTTTTTTCTACAACCTTGTGATTAAAATCTCAGGCTGCATACTTTGAGATGTATCAAGCAAAATCAGTTGTAATTGTCTTACCCAATGATATTTACTTTACAAGCTTATAGAGTATATGTCTGGTAATTACATACATTTTTGAAAATAGATTATAACATTCACAATTTCAAATCTGACCAATATTACTTATCTAATATATTATTTGTTATACTGGTAGTATTTGGCTTGAAACTTAATGAGTTGGATGTTTTCTCTGGTGTGATACTTGGAATTTTGTAGGTTTTCTTATAATTGTACATCTTGTTTCTGTAGTTTCAGATATTTGTTTAAGATTGGTAGAGCTGTACCAAGACAAGTGCATGCAGTTTGCATCTTTGAAAGCAAGGATAGAGTAGATTTTTTTGAGGAGGGGCGCATGATTTACATCTCACATAGGGCACCATCAATGATTGATATGACCCTGAAGGTTAGTTGATGTACAGACCTAATATTTTCCTGACTAATATTAGTTGCAAACCAGTGAAGGACATGTTCATCATCAGCTTGTCACTAGGGTTTGATAAGTCAGTTACTACTATTGGAAACGTTTTACTTTCATTGGCTTTGGATTCTGCTCTTGTAGCTTTTTACTAGTTTTAACCTAAAACTGAACACTTCTTTTTGGAAAGTAATTTTATTCATTTTAATAATTTTCGTATACAGTCTGTGTTGCAACTACAGTTAAACTTATTTTTATAAGTTATTATTAAATAACTTCTCATCTTATATTCCAATGAATTTGTATTTCTTCTGTAGGAGAATTTACTGTTCTTAAACTATATTAATCATAATTTGTAATTTTGTTTAAAACTAACAAGGTAAGGATTATTATTATTATTTACAATCAACTATAATGAAGCAGAAAATTTACACTGTGAAGATCAGAAGAGAAACACTAACTTTATAAAGTTAATATATATGTTTAGGTACTAATAATCTTTGTATGTCATGTGATGCCTTACAAAAGAAGAAGCCCTTTTTTTTTAAGCAACAGAGGGCTATTTTTTATTAACAGTTGTTTAAGTAATTGATGATATAAATAACGTCTCAACCAGTACTATGCCTGTCATTTCCCACCCACCTTGGTGAGCCCTGATATTGTGCATCAGGCCTTGTCATCACTGGATATAGCAGATGTAGGGTGGTTGACATTTTATTGCATTCTTATTTACTTTCATTCATAAGTTTTTATAATTGTCCTTATGAACTATTTTTGGGTTATCCCTGCACTATATCTCGTAATTAGAAGCAGCTGACCACGTAAGTGTGTAAAGAGTTGAAATATTATAACTGCATCTCATCACAAGTATTTGTTTTAGATGTAGAATAATATTTATCATGTGAGCAAACATGGGAGGTTACTATTCCACTAATATCCCAGCAAGACACAAGTTGCTCTTAAATACCTTTCTTTGTTAACATCCATTATTAACACTTGATAATTCAAGTAATCTAGAGTAACATAATACTTAGCAAAATTGTGTTTGCTTCTTTTTCAATAATTACTAAAAGCAATAGTCCAAGGACAAACTCATGTCTTATCACCATTTGTTTTTTTACAACTTTTAAATATCAGTTATGTAACTTAACAGCTCTTGAAACCACTGGAACTTGCTGTTTGAGAAATAGTTATATGAACATTGATTTTATTGACAAGACAATATTAATTTTCAATTATTACAAATACCTCTGAGATCTGCTAAAGAAAGTTGGTTGCCCAGTACTTTTTTTTTATATTGAAAGCTCGTAGTTGTTAAACCAGGCCCAATTTTAATGGCTTGTATTAACAAGATTACTCCTAAAAGCTTACATTACCAGGTAAGCTCTCAAAACATAAAATCTGGTTGTTTGCAGGAACATGGTTAAACCAATCCTCAAATCTATTCCAGAAGCCAAGCTCTTAAAACCCATGTTATCAGGTTTGTTCTTTAGAATTTGTATTATCAGACCAATACTTTAAAAACTTACAACATAAGACTTGTATTAATAACTCAATGTGTAGAGATATATATCTTTCAAAATACATTATCATACCAATCTTTTAAGACCCTGTTTGATGGAAATATTTCTTTAAATCTTAGGTTATACAGAAACTTCTCAAGAAACTAAGTCATAAATTGATTCCTAGAAAACTTTATTTATTAGATATATTCATAATAAATTGTGATCAGGACATATTTTACATTTTATATAATTTAGAAATATTACTTCTATGAAACATTTCTTGAAGTCAGGCATTGGTAATTTATAATTTTTGGAAACTCGTGATAAATGATGAACAAATCCTTTTGTCTTCTAGGGATTGTATGAAAGTGGTAATAGTGTCTTTCTCTTTACACTGTCTGATAAATAGTGGCCAGTTATAAGCAGAGAGGTTTGGTATTATTTCTAAACCACTGCCATGATGAGTCAAGTGTACATGATATCAAAGCTTAAATGAGTTAGCTCCCTGCTTGTTACAAGTGTGTATAGTACCAAATATTTGCATGCTTTTGCCTTTAGGCTAGTTGTACAGTGTTTTGTATATTATAAAATTGATTTGTAAAATGTTCAAGCTTACCTGCTTCTGTTCTCAGTCATTGTCTGAAGAAGAACCAATCAATCAATAGCCTGTAGTAAGTACTCTCAAGTGCTTGATTTATTACAAGAAGTCTGCAACAGTTAAGTATGTGCCAGTAGTACCCAAGAAAGCTTGATTTCTGTATAGAGATCTAGGCATGTGATAGGAAGGATTTGTCTTTGGCAGCTACTTGTATTGCTCATCATTCATGTTTTATATCCAAAATGTTGAATTGTATATATATTTTAGTCAGTAAAAATTATAAGAATGTTACTGTTCTTGTTTTTCAAATTCAGTGTTTTCAGGCTTTAAAAAATCCACTGCTGTTTGGTCTTGTGTATTGACTGATTTATTATTTAACAGGTTCATGGGCACAAAAATGCTAAAAGCTGCTTGCAGTAAGAAATAAGTTAATGGTTTAGCCCGACCTTGTTATTAGAAGCATAACAACTGTTAAGCACTTTCAGTTGGCAATCACAGTAACATCTAGTAGTTAGTCTGGAGTGGACCATGAATATGTTAAATAAGAAAAATACACCTCTGCTGTATTATAGCCAGTTTGTGTTCTGTTGTTTAAATTACTTGCCATACTTATTGGCATTCTAAACTTTTATGGAATCATATTTGTTGACTGAAAAAAGAAATAAATTAAATACTCTTACAAGCCTGAGAGAAATGTTGTTTATTCAAAAGATTGCACACAACCCTCATACTTCAGATTCAAGCATACAAGTACAGTATTTATTTGCTAAAAAATCGGATATAATATCTCTAAGTAAACTGAAATTGTTAATTTATTTTAAAAAAATTTAATGATACTGTGTAGCAGCATTTTGTATAAGTTGGAGAATGAAACAGTATCTACTTAAACTCATCTATGCTCTTTCAGTGAAGATTATAATATGTAGTTGAATTAAATAATGGAATTAATTTTGTGATGATAGAGATCAGAATTTTCTGTTGTAACTAAAATATTAAGAATTAAATTCTCTTGTTCAAAATTATATAAAGTAAAATTAATGTAATTTTTAGCAGAGTAGCAGATTAATTTACAGCAAGGTTACAAATTGAAAGACAAAATTTTCTTTTGAGAGCAAGAATATTTTTTCTAACATCACATGGAAAATCTTAGGTAATAAACGAGTAAGATTTTAGTAAAATTAGAATAGAAATATTTTATTAATCAAGCCAGTAAAACTGTTTTTTCTTTAGCGCACAATTTGTCTATGGTTTACACATGACTCTGTGTGTGGCCTAGTAGCTGATGTGGTTGAATGATCCAGGGTTTGAGACAGGATACTAATGAATATGCAATGTACTTTCACCTGTGAGCATGTTATAAGAGAGAGAGAGAGACAGTTAGCTCCTGTTATTTGGTTTAAAGAGTTGGACAAAGTCCTTGTGGTGGCATATATAAATCATATATTAAAACTCAATATGTTTTAAAATATTGTTGTTTAAACAAGGATCTCTTAATCCAGTGTCACATGTTTATCTGCTGAAGATCTACATTTTGGTTAGAAGCCACTGTATATACAAGTTACATAAAATACTTTACTGGAACATTCTTGGGTTTCATTTTTAGATATACCTTTTTATAAGTAAATTCAAGTCTCTTAAACTTAAGTACCAATATGTTTCAGCATAAAAGGTTTTAAAAACTTAGACTGATTTAAGTTTCAATTCTAACTCCATACTTCCACTCAAACTGCAGTTTGAGCATAGATTTTGTTGCATGTTGTCAGAGGTTAAGTTAGGATTTTTGAAATAGGGGGGAACTCACTTTTGTGATCCACTTTGTAGTTGCAACAGACTTAGACAACTTCTGACAGAATTATTGGGCACCCCTTAAACTTTTGAATTGGATACACGCTTTTATATCTATATGTTAAGAAACTACTGTGCCTGTATAGAGAATTGAAATGTTGCTGTAACTGTTCTGCTGTCCAATTGCCATTGGTACTATTTTCTTTCAATCAGAGGACCTGAACCATTAATGGTCTGAATAGAAAAGAGGCAGAACTTCAGCTGAGCCCAATTTAACCCATACATTTTGTTCTCTCACTACTAAAAAGCATTGGCATACTTAATTTACATAAATCTTACATGCTCTTTGCTATAGGAAGCCAATAAAGATTGTTATGCAGACCTACCAAATTTGTCTCGAAAACAACTTCAAAATATTCTGTTCTTCATTGCTTTGTCAAAAATACAAACTCGTTCACACATGACTATTTACTCGCAACTTGACTATTAGCAGGTAAAATTAGCAGTGTTGCTGATTTTCACTGTAAGTTAGAAAATGGTAAAGAAAACAACGAATTTGTAAAATGAAAAGGTTATGGATAAGTGAAATGTTATAATTTGGTCAACAAAATTCAGATAATTATTTCCATTTAGGCTCAAAAAGTTTAAAAATGCAGCATGGTCATTTTATAATAAGTGTTTCCCTATGGGTTGTTTTGACGTTAAGCACAATGGGCTATCTGTGCTCTGCCCACCACGGGTATCGAAACCTACTGTGGGCGGTTTCCTATGGATAAACAAATTAATGAACAACGCAGTACTATCATTATGCTAATCAATATATTATAAGTTTTAATATTGTGTGTATGTTTTTGTTTTAATTACAACACTAAATCATGTTTTAAAAATTCATAATTACATCAGATTATTTCCTACCAATGGTTGAGCTAGCCTGTTGGTTGCCCTTTTGTGATTAGGTGGCATAAAGGTATAAATAAATAGATACCCGAGTTTAAAACGAAAACATTTTGATCTGAAACCATGCATAACATTGGCAAAATATGAAAAAGGGGTAATACTTCGTGATGTAACACCTTTTGTCTAATGCAGGGCGTCAACGTGCTTACACAATGCGTCCATCCTCGGGACAGTAAGGCTGATGTACATCCCAGAAACAACCTCTAATAGTTACTTCCTGTGGTGTAAAGCGTATGGTGGCAGAGAAAATTCGATATAACTCAAAATCATTTGTTAACGAACCCGGACATTGGAAGGTGCTGTTTTGAGTAAATTATGATCGAGGAGAGTGTGTTGAACAATGTTTTATGGTTCATCGCAATACCATCAGGTAAAGCAGGTGGTTAATCAGTCAGTAGCCTTTTAGACTAGAAAGGCATATTGACAACATTTCAAAGCCACGTCCAGCAGCCGAGAACACTGTGCACACAATAACAAAGTGTTGCAACAATATCATGAGTTACTGTTTCCCAAGTCATCCACAAGAGATTTAGCCCAAGGAGATCAAGTTCATCAGGATATATGCGTCTCTGGACCTATAAAAGGAGAAAAGGGCCTTCCCATATGCATAAAATTTCTTAGCTGTATAGTAGTAAAAAAAATAAAAGTGCAAGTAGATTTTTATCAGCACCACTATTTAACTGTGGGAGTTCTGTAAAACAGGAAAACCTTTCAGTGTTTAAGAGGACAGCAGAGGAGGATTTTGGCCATTTTTAAAGCATTTCAAGCAAATTGTTACTTTGAACGAATAGACTCGGAGACTGGCAGTGTAACATTTAGAGAGTCCCACGCTTAATGCATTACAGCATTTGGACAAGGGGCAATTTGATGACTGGGACACAGTTCTCAATGAGTTGTATCAAAGGTTTGATCCTGTGGAGAACAGAGTAACCTATAGGGCAAAGTTTAGTCATGAAAGGCTATTTAAGGAGACTGCAAGGAAAGGCATTCTCCGGCACGTCTTCCACAAAGCATGATGAGATACTCAATGATAAGTTCATTAAGGGGTTGTTGAGTGAACCCACGCATAACCACGTTAGTCTGGGGGAAAATTCTCTCACATAAGCAATGCAGTTCGAAGTAGCCACGCCAAACCAAGTATTGCAAATATGGAAGAAATTAGTGATTCAGCGCCTAGAAAACCTCCAGCATTTGCGTGGTCCCAAGGCACGAGAAAAATATCGATCTCCAGTTCCACCAGCTCCAGCCTGGCAAGGCCTGTTGGTTAAGGTGCTCTACTCGCAATCTGAGGGTCACGAGTTCGAATCATCGTCACCGAACATGCTCGCCCTTTCAACCATGGGAGCCTTATAATGTGACGGGCAATCTCACTATTCCTTCGTAAAAGAGTGGCCCAAGAATTGGCGATGGGTGGTGTTGACTAGCTGCCTTCCTTCTAGTCTATCACTGATAAATTAGGGACAGCTAGCATATATATATCTCTCGTGCAGCTTTCCGCGAAATTCAAACCAAACCAAAATCCACCAGCTCATATGCAGCAGATTGTGTAAGGTATCATGACACAGCCACTTTGGTTCCCTATGAGACAATAAGGTTCATTTTGTCTTTTTCCATCAGTATGCCACAAATACAGCTACAGTTGGACTCCTGAAGGTGCCGAAAGCATGATTGAAGGTACACCTGCTTCAACTATGGCTTATCTGGTCACCAGACAGGACCATCAAACGTGAGTCCCATTCAGAGCAGCACTATGACAAATACAGAAAGGTTGAAAATTAAATATGGCTACAGCTACTCCAGCTAGTTTAAACTAATGTGGCTTGAGTTCAATCTGACCACCAACTCGGGCGAGTACAGCAGTCAGTATTTACAATTGTCATGGTGACTGATTGAGATAATCATGGACTGGATGTTACCATATAGTGTTTGTTGATAATGATTTATCAGTGCAAGGTTGAGTTTTAATGGGTATTGGAGCAAACAGAACCTTATTAGGCAATACTGTGTATCAGGCACAGTTGGAAATCCACAACTTTGGCCAGCTAGCACGAAGTTCATTCCAGTGATTTGTGACAAGTTAAATGTGATAGGTATGTTTCCAATTTCATCTTAACAGCATCGCGTGCCAATTGAATAAAGTTGTCTCCGATCTGGATTCAAATATTAGTATCTTAATAGTAGACCTACTGCAGAAACTGTCAACCAGTTTCGCTTTTGCGATGGATAAACTGCAGGTATTTAACGAACTATCCAGTGCCAACCAGATTGTGCCCAAGAACAGTGGGCTGATTGTGTGTGTGTGCATTGAAAAAGATGTGATAACTTATCTTAATGAGTAAGTGGTATTTAGTGTCGTACAGTGGATGCAGTGTGATGCCCAAGAACAGTGGGCTGATTGTGTGTGTGTGTGCATTGAAAAAGATGTGATAATTTATCTTAATGAGTAAGTGGTATTTAGTGTCGTACAATGGATGCAGTGTGATGCATTGTCACCATCTGCTGCATTAATAGAACTGATGCATGAAATAATTTTTTTTTATCTGGAAAGCAGAACTGTGCTTTTCAATCAATTATCTATCTAAGTGTGTGTATTGTCGCAGTGTTAATCTATAACTATGGAATTTGCTTATTCAGCTATTAAATGGAATAGTCACAGAGACAGAAGTTACACAAACTATCAAGTAGCTAGTGTTACAACA